CAGCTCTTTTCATTCGTGAATATGAAAAGTACATACCTTTGACCAGAGCCATCACTATTCACATCAAAACTGAATAAACCATCTTCCTCACTGTTGCAGGCCTGAAATGTAAACATAAGCCGCATAACATCAGATCATAACCATAAAAAATTCTTTGCTGAAATATCTTCTACTTCCTGAGGAAAACAATACAAGTTTACTGCCAGTTTTTGCTTTTATCCTTCTAAAGAAAGTTCAATGTCATCTACCAATAAGAAACAAATATCAGTTCACAAAAAGCATATGGGATAACAGACTTTGCCTCAGAAGTCATAAGCCAGAATTTAGGTAATACTATATTTACAATTTTGAACTGGGAGATCAAGGATTATCACAGCAGTTTACTTTCATTCTAAAGTTTACGCCACAAGAAATTTCAAACCCTGCTTTTTAAAGCTACTCCAAGACTGAACGTACTGAGAAGACAATAACCAGTGTCTTATAAACCAGAAAACATGATCCAGAATGATAATTGAAATTTGTAGTTGATGCTATATGATGACAGGAAGATATTCAGTTACCTGTACTAGTACCGCACCAGCAGCATCCCCGAATAGAATACAGCTCCCTCTGTCCGACCAGTCAACAAATCTTGAAAGACCATCAGCCCCGATTATTAGAACATTCTGAAATCCTCCCCCTGTACCCACACAAAGAAAAGGATTTGAGTTTCATTAGACTTAGCAGTCATCAAGACTTTATTAATACTAATTCATACCCCTGATGTGACAAGCAGCTGATATTAAACCCAGCAAAAATCACTACATGCAGCATGCAGCAGTGATGTCATAAGCCAATGCTTTTTGGCAGCCAAGTTGTCTTTGAATCTGCAAGTCACAATGACAATTATGATGACAACAAAAAACAAACAGCCTTAGCAGTATCAGCAGGCTGTTTAAATACTTTTTGCAAAGCTAAAAAGATTCTATCATTTGTAGGAGGGAATCCGCAATACCGGAATCATTCAAACATCATGATAGTAACTTAAAATGTGTCCGTAAAACAACAAAGATTATTTTTCTATGTTAATGAGAAAAAAAAGTACAATCACAACCAGGGAGTGTCCAATTTTTAAATAGTAATGTAAAAGCTAAGAAACTCTTGATTGATAAAACTGGTGCCAAAACAATCGATCAAGGCACAAACGCACAATTGTTTTCTAAGGAATCAATCTATGGAAAGTATTGCCATAAAAAGAAACTATGGAAAGTGCAGCATACTTATAAGTTACAAGCATGTTGTTAAGTGGTTACAGAAGTAGCCCGCATTTACTAGGGAAAAAATCTTCTATGATATGATAAAAATCTTGCCTAAAGCCAGTCCTTACATTTATAGGGAAATAATCTTTAATTAAAGTGAAGTCAATATTTATAATAATTAAAAAATCATGAAATAAATACAGCATAAAAATCTATAAGAATAAGTAATTTTCCAAACATCATTCTAAAAGTTTATTCAAAACAAATGATAAATGCATAGTCCTTACATTCCCTCAAGTCCACAAAGTGAGATTTTAGCTTAATAAGAAATCTTGGGGTAAGAAGCCAAGTTCAATTTTCTTGTCTACATATATTCAGATTCTCAACACTGCTAACAATGCATGTAATCCCGCATAACATGCACAAAGGCATTTCAATGATACATCCCGAACCAATACCTGAGGAGCACTTCCAAAAAGATCCTCTGGGGTAGATGTGCACATCAATACTAGGTCAACATCACCAGGATCAACCTTTGCCATCAGAAGAGCTTCCCTAGAAGCTTCAGCAGCTAAGGTTGTTAAGCTCTCTTCACCTGCAAGTATCACATCAAGCAAACATAAACAAGGGCCATCTCATTTGGTAAAGCTTCAAACAAGGTTTTGAGTGAGTCGTTATTTAACATACTTGGCATCATCTCATGTAACATTAATGAATTGATAAAGCACCATAAAAATAAATTTCACCACAAATCAACCAGCACTTCACAGAAGGACAAATTTGAGATATCCATTTCCAGATAGACATCCCCTGACCAATTGGCCATCAAGAGCCTAAGCTAGAAGCCAGCAATGTAACCTAACTTTTTTAGCTGTCTAATCTATGCCATTGCAATGGCATAATACAAGAGACTAACCTGAAAGAACATGTCGATTATGAATTCCCGTGCGAGTTGCTATCCATTCATCAGAAGTATCAACCATTTTGGCAAGGTCATCATTGGAAATTTGAAGAGCTGGCACAGCAGAACCACATCCAACTAACTTGCAGCCTTTACTGACAAGCCTATGAAGACATTAATTATTTCCATAAATTGTCAAAAAAAAAATACCAACTACAGAAATGTGATTATCATCCCAAATGGCATAAATATGTGACTGTTCCTCCTGGTTATATGTACGTATGTAGACCAAGAAAAATGAGGCTCATAACCAGTTCATTATAAGTTATTAACAACGTAATATGTTGCTGCTCAATAAATTCTTCCACATTGCAACATGAGACTAGGCAGCGTCTCTTTACAAATGTTTTGAGGACTCAAAAATACCATCAGAGCAAAGAAATTTATAGTCAAATGATAAAATGCAAACGCATGATTAGAGGAAAGAAGTTAAAGTTTGCTATGGTTATAAATCTGTTTGTCAAAAGAAATCCAATCAAATGGATTGAAAATTAACAATAAGGAGCAAATGGTTGCATGCTTCTATTCATTTCTTCTTTCTTTTCTATATATTTTGAGACTTGGCACAATTTTACCTATATAACACGACTTAAGTATTATAAATAAATAAAAAATGCTGAAAATGGTTGACCTCTTCCAACTCTGTAATGCTAAATTTGAAATGATTTCTGAAAGAAGAGCAAAGCAAGATAAAAGAATTGTTTAGAATGTGTTTTGAGACGCAAAAAACATTGCATTTCAGCATCGCACAACTCAAGCATATCTAGATCAAAGGAAGGCATAGAAGAGTATAGTTGTAATTGAGATCAATCTGCCCCACTTGATACAGGCAGATTCTAATAGCAAATTTGCTTTTCAAACCAGAGATCCCATTCAAAACAAGTTCATGAACAGATATGGATAACCAACAAGTGTAAAAAAAAAAAAAAATCACAAGCCACGCCCCCTTTTCTTCTTCTACGATCTTGAACTTTCATCCGAGGCTATGTAGTCAAAAATAGCATTTAACTTATAGCTCTCAGAAGTTTGTTCTTCAGTTCCTAAGCCATGTTCCTAATTTCCTAAGACTGGAATTATTTGACCCTCTCGCTACTTTTTTCATAACACTTTAAGTTTCGAATCCAAAAATGGTTGCTCAGACGTGTTAATGGAAGTAAAAGAAGCACGCAATCTATACCCATACTAACCATGGTAAGATTTCAAAGGCCCAAGGTCAACAAAACTGGAAACCCTGCGAGTAGACATCAATAGTCGGTCGGATACTATTAAAGGTTCTATCACTTTCACGAACCAAGCTCTCGATAGAAAACTCTAATCACATTGCTATAAATACGGCAAGCGAATATAAGACGTAGATTTTTAGTTGAAGTTACCAACAAAAAAATGGCTACCTAACTAGTAAATAATCATGCCAAGCAGAGCTAAACCAATTATTTACTAAACGGATTGAAAATAAAAATGACCTGGGTATCCGAGCTTCCGAAGGCTTTGAAGCACTTGAAGCATGCCTTTCAGCGCCTTCTACGGCACTAAGGCAGAACACTTGCTTCGAGATTCGTTGAAAAGAGAAATCCCCAAATTGATTAACGGCTATGGCAGGCTGAGCCCTCCCACTCAGGTTAGGAACTGAAGCCGTAAAGAACCCAGATGCATTGGCCATTTACACCAATACTCAAAACCAAGGAAGAATCCGATACAAGAAAAGTATTAGACGAAGAAGAAAAAATCTTTCAGATTATATGCGAAAGAGTATTATTAATGTGATGGACAGAGTGTACAAAGCCCATAGGTAAGAAGACAGGGGGAGAAAACCAACAGCGTCGAGGCCCTTTTAACGCAATAACAATCTTCGGAGGCTCCAAAGAAGAAAGAGAAAGAAGCAATTAAGTCAATCCAATCTGTGAGGAAACTCCAAAGCTAAACACAAACCTTGCTAATTGCTTCACCCTGAGTAAATTCGCCTCAGAGTAATACAGCAAAAATCGAAGCGATGCTTCTGCAATTCCTAGATCTGGGTGTATTATTATAAAAAAGGGACATAATTTATCAACGAAGAAGCAAAATGTGGTTTTGTAGCTATAGAAGGCTTCTTCGTTAGGTTCGAGGTCCCAACCAAAATCGCATACCATTCATTGATGGGAGTTGAAAGTTGGCCTAGCGCTCATTTCGAGCAGCCATGGTTAGAAGAAATTCTTGTGTACTTCCAAGAGTAAAGCTCATCTGTACTCCGTCCAATCAAGACACAAAACAGATCAACTCGTGCAATTTTAATTCCAGCTGTCTGCTTAATTTATATTATTTTTAATATTTTTAAAAACTTTTAATACTTCTCAATATAATATAAGGTAGGGATAATTATTCTCAAAATTTATTTAAAACTTAATTTTTTGAAAAAATTTAAATTTTTTCAATTATACTTTAATTAAATATTTTTATAAATTATTTTAATAATAATAATTAAATTTTAATATATTATTTTTAAAAAGAATAATAAATGAGGTAGGAGATTTTAAAAATAAAATAAAATTCGAATTATCATGAAGAGCTGATCCGAAAAATTAGTTGAGCTGCTATATTTTGATTGGTCAGAGTACGAATGAGCCAGCACTGTGAGAGTACAGAAAAATTCCTCTAATGGTTAGTTTAGTTTTCAGTTCTTACTTCTTTCCAGCTACCACTGGAAATACAGTGGACCCACTGGGTATCTGTTTTTTTTTTTTTAATTTAAATTGAGATGTCCTTAAGAACCTAAAACGTAGGAAAAATTAATTAGTCCATGTAGTTGTGATAATTATAATTTAATTTTTAAATTTTAATTTAATTGTAAAATATAGAAAAAAAATATTTTAAAAGAAATAATAGGATTGGTAAATTTTATAGAATAGATTGACGGATTTTACAAGCAATATTGCTTTGAACGGAAAAAACTTATCCAGGCCCCAAAAAAAAAACAAAGGAAAAAAAGTAAAAAAAAATAAAGGAGAAATCACTATCAAGTCCTTCCCAAAAATTCTGATCACCTCAAAGTCTGAGGAAATACATAAATTCCTCTCAAGTTTGAAATCCCTTTTTTTTTAAATAAATTTTATGTGAAATTGTGGAAATACCATTGTTTTATTTTATTTTTTCTAATATGAATTTCTAATGGCAAATCATCTGGTCTTGGGTTCTACTTCTACCCAGAGCATCCTTCCCAAAATTAATCAACTCGGTTGCTATAATACATAATGTTGAATTTTTAAAATTTAAAAATGCATAATAAAAAGTAATATCCATCAACGTTCCATTGTTTCCATCCAATATATGTACTTATTGTAATTTTAAAATATATACAAATTCCATACATATTTTTCATATTTGTTTATTTTTATTCATTTCTCAATGTTTATTATGTAAAGATATGTTTGGATAGTAGTTTAGAAGTATAAATTAACATTTAAAAAATTAAAACAAAAAATAATAGGACCAATGTATCAATTCGACTGGTTCTTAGATTGAGCCATTCTTTTATGAGATTGAATCGAACTTGGGTGTGACTTGAGACTGGTTCCAGATTTAATCGGTTGATTCTATAAAGTTGAATTTCACTTTTGTCGTAGGTTTTAAAATTTTCTTTTAGGTTGTAAATAAATGTGTTCATTTATTTAGTCATGAATTCTCGCTTATTGTGATAAAGATTTTGGCATCTTTTTGGTAAAATAACATTTAAGGCCCACTGGCATGGTGATATGACAACAAAGTCTCATGAAATGATCTAATGTCCATTTGAATTTCAGTTGAGTATAATAAATTATAAAAATAATTAATTAAGTAATAAATTTTAATTATAATTGATTATGCTATAATACAATCTGTTTGGATGCTGTTTTTCTAAAATTGATTTTAATAGAACTGAAAATGTTTGGATAATTTTTTTAGAATCAATTTTAGCTGTATAAATTACCATAAAGGACATTTCTTTTTAAAATTAAATTATTGATAAATTTGTATCTAATATTGTTAAAGTTGTTACATTTTATTTAAGAAGTAAAATATATTATTTAAACTACATATATACTTAATTAAAAATTTAAATTATATTAATACTAACATTCAAATTTATGTAAATAAATAATTAAATATGTCTTAGTTAAAATAAATTCAATAAAAGACAAGAAAATTAAATTCTTAAATATGAAACATTAATTTGATAACAACTAATGAAAATGATAATATACAAGTTGATCCCTAATAATATCACAAATACTAGTCATAGCTGACGAAGAAGATGTTACGGACGATGGTAAAAATGAATACTCATTAATGTCATGGTCTTCTCGATCCTCATGGTCTTCCTAATCTTTCCTCTCATGACGCATAAAATCAAAATCAGAGTTAGAGTCTCTTCTAATGAAATTATGTATCGCCATTGATGCAATAACGATTTGAACTTGTATATCATAGTCATAGCTAGGGATGTTATGTAAAATTGCAAACTTGTTCTTCCAAACTCCAAATGTTCTTTCTATTGTGCACCGTAAACTTGAATGAAAATAATTAAAAACTTTGTTATTATTTGCAAATTCAATTGATCTTTTAAAATTAGGAAGACGGTAGCATTCCCATCTATACGGACCAAGATATCCATTTGGTGTTGGATAGCCGACATCCACCAAATAATATTTACCTTGTAAAAAAAGATTACTATTAATGTCTGTAAGTTGGAAAGTATAACACAAATAAATTAAACAAACAAACAAACAAATATACCTGAAGGAGAATGTGGAAAGTTCATGGATCAAGTTGTCAAAGCACGTTAAAAAATGCGAGCATCATGTGCAGTACCCTTCTATCCAACCAAGATAAAAGTAAAGCATATGTCTCAATCACACATAGCCATTACATTTTGCGTAGGGATTCCTTTTCTTCCAATATATTTTGATTTTTCACTAGCAAGGACTACACATGGAATATATGTGCCATCAATTGCTCCAATGGCATTTTTGAAGAATGGCTAATATCGCTTATCATTTTCTATTTTGTTTGATATATGATGAAAAGACCTGTCTTGTAGTTTGATATATTCCATTGCAAGTTTTCGACCAAGCCATTAAAACTTTATAGAAATGTCTGTGAATAGTCTCCCCTGAATGTTGAAATCTTTCTTGTGCCATCCTATTTCCCAACCCATGTCCAATTGTATTTAAAAAAATTGCAATCATCTCCTGTACTCTCATTCACCTAGTGTCTTTTAGTCCATGCCATGTCAATTCACTACATAATTAATGAAACACATGTGGTTTTATTCTAAGCATTTCATAGCAACGAACTGGATGTCCCTCTAAAATTTCATTCACCCACAAAATGACCTATATATTCATTATTTCTTTGTGGCTCTTTGCACAAATGTTTTGTTGCATGCAACCCAATAAGAGGACTAACTTTTTGGGTTCTCTTTAACATTTTTTTAGACAACTCTTCCATATGTTTTGCTACTTATAGCCAAACACATAAATAATATATGCACATAATTTCAATTATAGATATATCTAAATAAATCATCTATAGAAATACCAATAACTTTTCCACAACATTATAATACTTCATTACTATATATAAAAAGTACATAAGTAGTTCAAGAGGCTACGTAAGTCAAATTTAATAATATAATACAAACATGTTAGACTACTCTTTAAGTAAGATAATATGCTCATAACAAGTTTTAAAACCCTAATAATCAACCATTTTTGTAACATTCATATCTCAACCACTCCAAAACACTCTCTTTATCATCCTTCATTATCAAAAACATCACCCCTAGCCTTTCAGGACATGCAGAGTGACATGCATTGTGAAACCCAATGTTTGTCAGTTGCAACTTCTTTCCATTGTTTGACTATAGACATGACTTCAGGAATTGATGTTTTCTTAGGCTGTTGAGATTCTTCCTTTGTTGTCTAAGCTATCACACTCATTGTATCTGCTATTTAACTTGTACTAGGTAACTTATTCTTCTTTCTACTATTACTACTTTCGCCCCTCTTCCTTTTATCACTGTCTCCACTTAAGGTTCCTTGAGAAGCATTCAGAACTACTCTATTAAATTCACTACTTACTCCAGTAGTTCGTAAGATCTCATCACTATCTCCTGAACCTTCCTCCAAATCAATACCCTTATTTGCCATATCTAGCCGATACATGTCTTTGTCCTCACCTTCATTCTTATTGTAAATGTTAGGCAAAACTCCACTTGAACCCATGCTCTAGGTCCATTGGCAATGGAACCTTAAAACAACTCAGTTAATTTATTAGCAAATAGTAATCCTTTATATCTGAATTGCTCGTATAATGGATTTTCCTGCACATAAGTTACCAATAATATTACAGAATACACAAATAAATAGAATAAATATAAAGCCTCACATAATAACATCATACCAATATCTTTTTCTCCCACCAATCATTTAAAGCATCCACAGTATTGTATGCATAATGCCAACCCAATCCTGTCTCGCTTAAAACTAACTTATCCCACAGTACCCACTCTTTTCTCATATTATCCCACTTATTCTTGAATTGTTGTCTATCATATTTCTGTCTAGTCCTCTTAGAAGGTAGAAATTATACTGAGCCATCCTACTTTGGTAAAACTACCACCATTTCTTTGCAATTTTTGAACTTGGTCCACACAAATGTCAATAAATATTCTAGTATTTCTTCGATCCCATGAAGCTTTTGACTTATTATTACTCATTATAATATATAAAAATTAATTGTATGAGAATATAAAAAACCAACATGTTAATTATAGGAATTGTAATTAAAATATTACGTGACAAAAACTTGACAATTTTTAGAGAAGCTAAATTCAACATTCAACAGACATTGAAACAGCACAGAATTTGACTAAATGACCCCTATATATGCAAAACATACTGTTTGAGAATAAATCTCCAATAATCAATGATCATATAGACCAAAACCAACACAGAGTTCGACTAGGCACAAAACCAACTTTTGACAGCTTTTCCATAATTTGCAAATGTACAAGCGTTTGACTAAAATCAGGTTTCAATAGCTAAAATCAACTTTTAATAGTTCTCCCATATCCAGCACAGAGTTCAATTAGGCACAAAACTAGCACAGAAACAACATGAAAAATTAGTTTTCACCCACATTATTATTTGCAAGTGTACAAAAATTGCAATGGCCGAAGTAA